GTTTGTTTTTGAGTTGGAGTCTCACTCTGTCACCCAGAATGGAGTGCAGTGGCCGCAGCCTCGACCTGCTGGTTCCAGGTGATCCTTCCGCCTCAGCTCTCCAAGTAGCGGGAACTACAGGCACGTGCCACCACGCCCAGTTAATTTTTTAATTTATTGTAGAGATGAGGTCTCGCCAAGTTGTCCGGGTGGGCTCAGGCAATCCTCAGACCTGGGGCCTTTGGACACTGTCCCGCCTGTGATGAAGAGTATGGGAGGTCTGAGCTGGGCCAAGGCTTCAGTGTGGAGGAAAGCGAAGCAGGGACAGTAGAAAAGTCCAGGAGAGAGAAAAAGGAGGGCAAGGAGGGACTCTTCTGGACTAGAATTAGAAGGCTACAGTTGCGGGGGCACTGAGGAGGAGTAAAGGGAGGCAGGATCCTGGACCATGAGTGGGAAGCAGGTGGGGTAACACTGAGGCCCACCCATCGAGTGCCCTCCAGGAAACTTCCCAGTGCCCTTCTGACTCACTTCCCCCAACTATCTGGGCCTCTGTCTGAATATCTGGATCCCTGTATGTCCCCCAACACGGTGAGCCTCTGAGAGTATGGCCCACCCTAGTCCTGCAGTGACCTGAACTGGCCTCACACTGAAGAACCAGAAGGTCTTTGTGGAAGAGTGAACAAACCAATGATTACTCTGTAAACCATTCATGTGGTTGGACCCTGTACCTTAGAGCACTGGCACTGTCCTGGCAGAGGGGTTCCTGCCTGCTGAGAGCAGAGGTAGCAGTTAGGAGCTAGCTCTGGAAGACAGATGGGCTTTGTCCATAGTTAAGGGAGAGTGTGAATAAAGACTGCTGTAGTAGCCTGTGAGGAAAGGGAGTCAGACCTGGGAACATGAGGGAGAGCCCTAAATGCCTAGCTCTGGGCTGGAGCTCGGGGCCCAATGCCTGCCCAGCTCAGAATGGGGCCTGATGCCACTTCTCAATTCACTGTTCCTGCCTGGCCCAGGAACTGCATTGGGAAGCAATTTGCCATGAACTAGCTGAAGGTGGCCATAGCCCTGACCCTACTCCACTTTGGGCTGCTTCCTGATCCTACCAGGGTCCCTACCTGCATACTTCGAGTTGTGTTGATGTCCAGCAATGGGATCCACCTTCTCAGGAAGCTCTCCAACCCATGTGGGGACAAGGATGGGCTCTGAGGGCTTCCTCCTGCCATTCCATCTTCCTGTTCCCTCCGCCTGTCCCCTGCCTGTCTGCCCACATCCTACTTTTGTCTTCCCACCTGCCCTTCTTCCCACTTGTCTGCTGCCCTGCCCCCTCCTTCAATCTCTTTGCACTTCTCTCTCACTTTTCTCCGGGTTCCCTATCTGCTTATCTAGCTGCCCCTACCCACCTGCATCACTAATGTCCATCCACTCCTGATGTCCTATTTGCCCTCCAGCCTGTCTAACCCCACACCTGTCTTATTCCTTCTGCCTACTTGGCTGTTCCCATCCGAGTTTCCTACAGCTGTTGTAATAAACTGCCACCAAAAATAGTCATTTTAAACAATAGAAATTCATTCTCTTACAGTTCTGGATGTCAAAGTTGGAAATGGGCTTCACTCCTGAAAATCCAGCTGTGGATGGAGCCAAACTGCATTAGGGAGTCGAGGGGAGAGTCCTGCCCATAGGTTCTTCAGCTCCAGAGCTGCATTTTTATGATTTCTTGGCCCCCCTCCCCTTGATAGCCAACAGCATCTTCAAATTTTTCTTGTCCTCACATCTCTTTCCCTCTTCTGAGGACTCTTGTGATTACACCAAAATTGTTGAAATAATCCAGAACAATTTCGTCTTCAAAGTCTATGTTGACATAGGTAATCCTATAACCACAGGTTCCATGGCTTTGGATAGGGACATCATAGACAGTTATGATTCAGTGTAGCACAGTTCCTATCTGATTGTTGCCTGATTTGTCCATCTAAATCTCTCCTATACAGTACCTGTCTACCTGTTTACCATTCAGATAACCCTTCAGTCTTCCCTTCTCCCTGGAATAAAGTTCACAGGGTGTAGTAGTGTCCAGCTTCCTGTGGAAAGAGATGGGAGGAGAAGAGAGATGGGGGTGGGGGAAGACTTCCTTCTGAGTAGGGAAAAGGGAAGTGAGGAATGCCCTTTGGTGCCAGGACCCCAACCAGGCCTGCCATGTCTCACCCCACCTTACACAGCCTCATGATGTATGACCCCTGTTGTCCCACACCCTGTCCAACTCCTTAGGTTCCCATGGCAACTGAGTTTCAACAAAGGGCTTTTCTCTAAGAGCTCAGAGGAAGCTATACTTGTAGGAGAAAGATACCCAGCTTCCATTTCATTCAAGATTTAGTTTTTCTCACACAAGAATCTTCAGCACAAGGTTGAGGTAAGGGCCTGTCTTAATCCCTTTTGTGTTGTTATAACAGAATCCCAAGACTGGGTAATTTATAAGGAAAAGAGATTTCTTTGGCTCACAATTCTGGTGACTGAAAAGTCCAAGTTTTGACAGTTGCATCTGGTGAAGGCCTCATGCTACTTCCACTCATGACAGAAGGAAAAGGGAAGGAGTATGTGCATAGATCACATGGCAAGTGAGGAAGCAAGAGAGAGACTGAAGATGTCAGTCTCTTTTTTCCAATCTGCTCTCTCAGGAACTAATCCCTTCTATTTAGAACAAGAATTCACTCAACTCTTAGGGGAGGAGATTAAACTATTCATGAGGAATCCAACCCCATGATCCAAGCACCTCCCACTAGGACCCACCCTCCAACACTGCCACACTAGGGATCAAATTTCAATATAGGTTTGGGCAGGGACACATCACATCCCAACCATAGCATGGCATCTTGGGTTGAGGAGGAAAGCTTCTGGCATGAGGGGCTTGGGGATTCAGCTCTTCACAGCCAATGAGACATGAGAAAGAAGCCCAGTCTGGCCACATCACCAGGCACCTGTCAGCCTTCCTCACACATGGGGCCTGCAGTCTCCTCAGGAGCAAGTGCTGTGAGGAGTCCAGGTGGGCACATGGGTATGGCTGCTGGGAGAGGGTGACAGACCCAAGAAGCTCCTATCTCACAGCACAGATTCTCGGTGCTCCCCTGCCTTTCTAGCTGGCCACCCTGAGAGAGAAGGGGCATGCTCAACCCTTCCCACATGGTGACAGACTGGATGCTGCTACTCCTAACCCTGGGGCCTGTTCCAGCACTTGGTCCTCTAAGTGCTCCCCCAGCTTCCCTGGGCTGGTGTCCCAGCTTCTACCAGCCTCCTGCTTCTCTTGGTGAATCTGAGCCCAGGTGTCCCTCCTGCCCCTCCCCAAAGACAGACTTCCCTGGAGCCCTCTGCATGAAGCGTGATGCTTCCCCAATTGGTGCCCGTAACCAGGGCCTCCTTCCCAGTCCCCTGACCTCCATGTCCCTGGGCTATTTCAGTTCTTCTCTGAGAAGGGGCTGGAAAGAGGAGAACTGGACACTCAGCACTTGACCATGGAAGGAAAGGTTTGGGACAGGAGAGTGAGCTGGGAACATCCTTGACCCAATGTTCAGCAGACCCCCCAGCATCTGGTGCTGTAGAAGGGCTCATGCCAACCATGATCAGAGAGCACAGGACAATGGGAGCTCAGAATTCTGGGTGGTCAGTCATGAAGAGGTACTCTAACCACGGGATCCCATGAGGTGTGGATAAGTGACCAAAAAGTGACTCTGCTCACTTCAGGCAATGGGTGAGACCCAGGCTGAGAGCACACCCAATGCACACCCCCATGACACTATATAGAGACACTCAGGTACAGACACACATATGCCCCCATCGCACATGCCACACTCTACCCACACACATGTGCACGCATATTCCCAGGACCACAGGAGGCAGTGGGGTGTGTTTAGAGAGGCAGAAGAATGAAGCAGAATTCATCTGTGGCATCCACAAGTCCCTAGCCGCCATCATCTCCTCCCACAGGGAACCCATTTACCCCTTCTCACACCAGAGCTCTCAGCTCCACTTCCCCCCAACTCACACCCTCAGAGAGTATCAATACTAATGATGGAGTCTTGGCCAAAATAGGCCAATGGCAGAAGCCTCAGTTCAAAATCTTCTCAGATGAGTGTCTTGTGGGTTCCTTCCCTTTATATCACAGTGTGATCACAGCCTCCCCTCCTCCAGCCTCCCAGGCCTCCTCAAGATCCAAAGAGTTCAGGGAAATAGATGCATTTTAGACTCAGGTGCCTCCCAATGGCATGATGGTTATGACTTCGGGGCTCAGAAAGTGTATTAAAAATGTATCCTCACATGTGTCAGGTGCCAGGACAGAGGGAAAAGTTGGTAGCATAAGGTACAGGGCAGACAGCTGGGAGGCACACACTGACTGGGATCTCTGCCTCCCAGCCCCAGGTGGGCAAGGAGTTCTGGGTCTTGACAGGGTTTTTCAGGCATGAGCAGGTGGCCTGTGGCAGACCCGTGACCTTCCTCCAAGAGGGAGGCATCAATAGCAGGAAGAATGTATCTCCAGAGACACATCCCTAGGGCTCGCATTCCTCTCTCTTGTCTACCCTCAGCTCTCTAGTTTCCATCGCTCTTCCTTCCATACCTGTCTAGTCCCTGGATTGGCAACTACTAATGCCCTTAGACTTTGAGCCTAGGAGTATATGTGCCCTAGCCCTGAGGCTGCTGCTGCAGGGACTGCCAGGGAAAGAGCTTTAAGTTGTCAGGTGGCCCCCAACCTGAGGCCCTCCCCAAAAATCCTTCTTTGCACCTTCATGCCTCACCTGTGCCTCAAGCCCTCATTCAAGCTAATTCATCGGGGGCTATTTTTTTTTCCAAGAAGCGCCACTCTAATGCCAATCTGCCACCTTCCCTAGCTAAACTCCAAATACTCAGAATATCATGTGACTGTGAGACACAGACACTGGTGATAGCAGGGGTGCCACAGGGACCCACCTCAGGAGGGGTAGAAGACACACCCATGATATCATATTCCATATTCCTTGACCAGTGATGGTTACAAGGAAGTTTGCTTTAGGATTATTCTTTATTTTGTACAGTCTTGGTTTAGGCATTTTTCCTTATGTCTGTTATAGTCCAAACACACACACACACACAGTTAAACATAGAGCAGCTTGGTGAAAGGGCAACTCCCTAAGCCATTCCTCTGTCATATGGTACCTGGTCATCACCATGAATCCCAAGGCAAAGCTTCCATTGCGTTCACTGCAAGTCACTAAGGCTGGAATGTAAGTTTCTGCTACATTTTTTAAAGTTCGTCAATTACAGGAGATAAATGAAGTTTATTGAAGCAAGTAAGTGCTCGCCAAATGTTTGTTGGATACATGCACAATTCGACATTTATAGACACACATGTTTACATGGCATAGTCTTATAAGTGATTGTCTATGGCAATGGTTACTCCCCTTCCAAAGCATATAACTCCCAAAGGCAAAGAGCCCCAACTCCACATCCAGCCTGGGGAGGGTGGTTCCAGAGAAAGGCCACAGCCTGGGCTGAGTGGGGTCCTACTCTCACCAGAGCTACTTCCCAGACCCAGGGCCCAGTGGCTTCAGGTGGAGGTGGATACCATTCTTGGAGCGCAGGATCAACTGAGGTATCTTGATTGGCAGCCGCGAGGGGTCCAGAGAGAACTCAAAGCGGAGCAGGCAGAGGGCTGTGACCACCTTCATCTCATTCATGGCAAACTGCTGCCCGATGCAGTTCCTGTAGTGACACCACAAGGGGACATAAGGCAGTGAGGTGTCCAGAGTGATGAAATCCAGTAAGCTCAGTGGCCAACAAAAATCAGGAATTATCTTTGGAAGAACAATTAGTTGATAGGTGGATTGGCCTGGGCTAAAGAAACAGATCTTGGGAGCATGTTGAGGGTGGGTCCCAGACTGAGTAGATTCCCACTGCTGTTCTAGCTTGAGGAGCTTTCAGGGAATGACTTGCCCATCCCATTCACTTTCCTAGGACAGGAACAGGATCATGGCAAGAAGGTCCTTGGCACTTATCCTCCCTTAGGATCACCACAAACCCAGCATGGTTCCCCCTTATGCAGAGGGCCCCCTGATGATGCCTCCTCCATGATGTCATCCACCCTCCCCTTCTCAATCCCAAGGACCTGGAATACTGGGCCTCCTCATACCTGGGCCCAGCAGAGAAGGGCATGAAGGCAAAGGGGTGACGTCTGGACACATTCTCAGGAGAAAAGCGCAGGGGGTCAAAGACCTGAGGGAACAGGCCTTGCTTAAACATTCACCTGGTCTTGGCAGGTGGTGACCTTCCCAGCCCCCAACCCTGTCTGACCTCCCAACCCAGGAAAGAGATACCTCAGGGTCTGGCCACACAGCACTATTCCTATGGAGAGCATAGATGTGCAGAGAGATCAGGCTACCTGTGGGCAGAACAGAGACCTGGTGACCCAGGTGGTCCCGAGCAGCCAGCCCCACCTCCACATAAGGCCAGAATCCCCCAGCCATACACACACCCCTGTCCTCCCCCCACCCACCCAACTGGGGTGCTAGCCTCTGCCTGACCACTGCTGGTGACAGAGAGCTCATGACCACATGACTCATCAAAGTACTTTTGACCATCATCACACCTAGTTCTCATACTCCCAACACTGGGCACATCACCTGACACAGACATTTGTGGAGTGAAAAAAGAGGAGGAATGAGCCCACTCCATCACGAGGTAAGACAGGAAGGGACTTTATACCCTTTCTGCTTTCAGTTAAACTGACTCTTGGGCACTTATTATTCATAACGTTATGCTCTCAACAATAATAGCTATCATTCATCAGGTGCTTACTACAAGCCAGATACAGGGTGAACACTCTTTATGAAGCCACCACATCCAGTTGTACAGGTTGCACTCTGCACAGCATCATAGTCTACTTGAATGATGCTCCCTGACACTGTTCAGAAAACAGCTTGCATGGTGGTATGTGATAGTCCTGATGAACATTAATTTCTCTTTAATCCTGACAACCTCGAGAGGTAGGCACTTTTCTCACCCCTATTTTTAAGAAGAGGTGATGGAGCTAGAGCTTCAGGGTCAGAAGAATGTATCAATATGTTGTGGATTTGGACCCAAGACTCTCTGAGCACTAAGACTGAGCTCTTCCCCATCAATGCAAGGATTTAGCTAAAGGCACAAAATGTTTCAGAGCAGCATTCAGAGGACTCCAGTTCCATCCCCAGATCTGCCCTCATCCCACCTGCAGGTAGAGATCGGCCATCCACAAAAGTGACAGGTTTGCTGAGCTGGCGGTACACCTGGGGCACAGGCGGGTAGAGACGGAAGCTCTCCTTGATGCACATAGTCAGATAAGTCATTTTGCCCAGATCATCCCTGCCGGCAACACAACCAGGACATTCTGGGAATGGAGGAGCAATGAGAGCCTGGGGGAAGACAGACCCCAGCCCCAGCTTTCCGCCCTCACCACCACCACCACCCACTCAAGAGTCAGAAGGTTCAAAGTGGCTCTAGGCACCTAGGCCAGCCGGGCCGGACACTGAGTGGCCACTCAGACTCAAGGGTTCTGGTTCCACTTTCCTCCATCTCATTCTCATCTTCACCACTAGGAGGAGAAAGCACAGGACCCTAGGGATGTATGCACACCCAGCTATCAAAGACAAGGTCACTTCTGTGTCCCTCGAGGCCCCATGGAATCCCATGAGAGACAGTTCATTACTTTCTGCTTGGTTTCCCCTCAGAACTGGAATGAAAAGGAACAGGGGCAACCAACCAATGTTCTTGCATTGCTCAGTGAGTAAACAATGAAAGCTCATGTAAAATGTATGCCTGTGTGTGTGTGTGTATATCTTTTCCCTTTGGCAACAGAAAACTCAGACCTTAATGTGACATGCAACTCTAACTACTGTGCAATATTTTATTACAGAGGCCCAAACTCCTGGTCTTTTCCCCCACTGGCCCCATGGGAGGTTGTTTTACTGTTTTATTGAATAAGTAGGCTGGGGGCGGTGGCTCACATCTATAACCCCAGCCTTTTGGGAGGCCGAGGTGAGAGGACTGCCTGAGCCCACGAGTTGGAGACCAGCCTGGGAAACTTGGGAAGACCTCATCTCTACAATAATTCAAATAAAGTAGCTGGGCATGGTGGTATGTGCCTGTAGTTTCAGCTACTTAGAAGGCTGAGGCGGAAGGATCGCCTGAGCCCAGCAAGTGGAGGCTGTGGTGCCATAAGCATGCCACTGCACTCCAGCCTGGGTGATAGAGTAAGACTCCAACTCAAAAAAAAAAAAATAAGCTGGGCTCGGTGGCTCAGCCTGTAATCCTGCGCCTTTGGGAGGCTGAGTGAGTAAGTTGCTTCAAGTTCTACACGGAATGAAGTGAAAACTACATCTTTTTTAACTCCCTGCCTCAGGATGGGTTCACATTGCTACCCGACCTACAATGCCCAGATCTCTCTCTCTTTGCCCGAATTTTAACTCTCTAAAAAGATTAAAAAGTAAATTCAAGCCCTACCCCTTCCCTCTGCCCTAAACATTCAGGCCACTCAACCCTGCAATTTTGTCTAGCTGTTGAGTTATGTGAGTTTGTCTCTCGTAAAACTCCCCACAGACAGAAACTCAGCTCCTCTTCCTCTCCCACTTGCACCCCTGATAGTACCTGGTACCTGTCTGGACACCATGGGGGGCTTTCAACATCTGACCAATAAAAATGGCAATGTAGACTTCATCCTCCAAGTCTCACATTCTGGAATATAGACCCTTTATGTGCCTCTGAAGTCCTCTCACAAGCTGAGCGTTTTCTGTGCCCCCACTGTGTGCATAGCCCCATGCTGAAGACAACTCAGGAACTCAGAGAGAAAGATCAAATGTCTGACCACAAGCAAAGGCCTGAAGGAAGGGCACAGTCAGCAGAGAGGGGAGAAGCCTCTGAGAGGTTCCCAGAGGTCATGATGCAAAAAGTCATGGCCCGTAGGTTTCATGTTCAGGTATTCAGTCTTGAACCAAGAAACAGGGAAAACAAAAGTTTTTGAAGAGACAAAGTTTGGTAAAGTTGCTTCTCCTTCGCCAGAGAGAGAGAGAGAGATGTGGCATCCAGAGGCTGAGTATTGCCATCCAAAGGCAGGGACAAGGGACCGGCTTTCCCTCTGTCCCAGCTCTGTTCACCTCTCATCTTTTTCTTTTCGCCTCTTTTTCTCCCAGGTCTCCCTACTCTATATCCAGAACCCCAGAAGGGTAGTCAGGTTCTGCCATCAGAGGAAGTCAGCACATAAAATATCAACCTCTTGTTGACAACTTTCTCTGTGTAACGTATCTGCTCAGGTTCCATTTGGGGAGAATGGACTCGAGGGTGCATCTGTGCTTAGCTCCTCCTGCCAAAAGCAATGACAGTGAGAGAACAGAACAACTGCTACCACCCTCACCTGATTTCTTGGATGGCCCAGAACCAGATGGACACTACCCTTTCCTAAGGCTGAGCAGGATAAACTGGGCTCACCCTCAGCCTCACTCACCACTGGAAGGCATCCCGGTCCCCTAGGATCTCAAGGGCCTCCTCTCTACAACGTTGCTGGTGCTCAGGGTACAGGGCCATGCAGTAGAGAAACCAGGAAATACCACTGGTGGTGGTGTCATGGCCCTCAAACATAAACGTGTCCACTTCAGACCGGAGGTCCATGTCTGACAACTTGATCCCATCTTCATCCTGGGTTAGAAAAGGCCAAATAGGACAGCTCAAGGTATTTACAGTAAATACCAAGAACTCATAGCAGTAGTTGTCAAATGAAGATCTGAGGGAGGGAGTGAAAGGTCTTTTTCAGACTAGGGGTTAGAACCTTCCCCTAGATTCCTGTCTTTCTCTCAAGCTCACCCAAAATGTCTCCTACTCCACAAAGCCCTCCCTGACCCCTCCAGCCAAGTGACTTGTTTCCTCATCCAGCCCCAACTGCTAGCTCTGCTCACTTAGCACATGGATTGCCATTCAGCAGAAGAATACATCTTTGTTAACATCCACCTAGTGTCTCCTTCCCTGAACGTAAGCATCTGGAGGGCAGGGCCAGGTCTTCCTCACTTCTGCATCCTAGCACAGGAACTAACCCAAGGTAGGAGCTCAATGAGTTTATGAAGTAGATGAAAAAGGACCAACTGAATAGATGAACGAATGAATGAATGAAGTCTAAGATTCTACAGTGCCAACATTCTTGGGGATCTTAAAAGTCTAGAAATGTCTTCAGGCCACTACCATGTAATTCAGGTTCCCAACTTCATCTCTCTCCATGCCTAACACACCCTGTATCTGCCCACCTCTGAACATTTGCTGATAGGTCACAATCACTTAGGAAAGGGGAAAATGTTTAACCCAAGCCCCTTTTGCTGTCCAGTGATCCCTGTCCAAAGAGGATGGTCTGAAGACCCCGCTGGGGCCAGTTCTCAGGTGGGGGTGGGCAATGAATGATGTACTCACCCGAGCACCCAGGAGAATGTCCAGGAAGTCCAGGTGCCTCCGGTTCTGGATCTTCTCTCGCTCTTTCTCATCCTGCAGTGCTGCCTTCCGCTCCCTGATGACCTGGTCTGGGCCAGGAGCACAGGGCATCACTGTCTGGGAACCCATTCTCTGTGTAAAGGGGAGCTGAAGTCCTGTAATGGGAGGGATCACAGGGGGGCTGGGAGGAGGAAGCCAGGCTTCCTAGGGGTGAGCCCTGTGGGAAAGGCCCACCTGTATGGTCGTGGGCCACCTGGCAAGCCCGCAGGAAGCGGCGGCCATGTGGAGTGAGCCAGTAGATGAAGTCATTATGGTACTGGAAGGATTCAAGACGCTGCTGCATCAGCAGAGTGAGATTGCTCACGGCCAGGTAGTAGCTGCTGTCCCTGCACAGCAGAGGGTGGGGGCAGGTGGGGCTCAGACACTGACCCAGGAGCAGAACTCAGAGTAGCTCCATTCCAGGACTCTGGTCCCAACCACAGAGCTTCCTGTCCTTCTTCTCCCTTCCCTTAATCCTCCTCACTAAAACCAGATGTGGCTCCCCACCATAAGCAAGGCCAGGCTCACCCCTAGCGGGGCTCCCTAGGGCAAAACCCTAGCTTCTCTCACACCAGGGCCCAGGAGCCCTGCTAACATTCCCCTCTAAGCTGGCTTTGGAGGAGAGTGTGGTCAACCCCGAGGTTACCCCCTGACCTGTGTCCTAGGCCACTGTCTCCTTTGCCAAAGGTGCACTTCATGAGCGTGTCTAGTGCCATCTGTCCCACGTCGCAGAAGATGTCAAAGCATTTATCCTCACGAGCTTTCTCCTCCCACTTGTCCTGGAGCCCAGAGACAGGAACCCATGCAGGGGCCATATGGGCTAGATGCCCCACCCTGCTCTCCAGAACTCATAGCCGGTCCTCCATCACCAAGCCCCCTCCACGAATCCCCGGTCCCTGCCCTGCCCTCCATCCTGCTAGAATGTGGGGGTGAGATGGATAGGAGTTTGGCAGCCTCTGAGCTTCAGGCTTAGAGCGCAAGCCGGAAGGCAGATTTTGCATAGCACACAGATGCTTTCTCCCAGTCAGGGCAGCCTGTAAGGGGACAGGAGGGCTCAGAGGGAATGAGCTTTCCAGCACAGTGTGTGTGTAAGTCAGGCCTACAATAAGCCTAAGAAAGGATTTTCCTGCAGGGAAAAAGACTAGCCTGGGCAACCTCTGGGGATTATCCAGTCCTGAGACTCTAAACCTGACCTGTGACATCCCACTTAGAGATGAGTCACAATGGATGTTATTCTAGGCAGTTGCAGGAGGCAGAGAAAAGGGAAGAGATACTTTTCAGATGTGAAAGGCCCTCCTGAGGCACTCAAACATAGGCAGTTCCTCAATAGGATTCTGGGAAGAAAGAGGGCTGGGTCTCCTAGTAGAGACAAGCACCAGGGTTACCTGGATACTTGGAGCCTCAGCACCTAGTTAGCAGTAGCACATGGCAGGTGTTGGCAGAGCAGAGTTTGACATTGTTACTGCAGGTAGAATGGGGTCTCGGGGCCTCAGCTCTGCACTGCACCCCACTACCTGCCCTCCGCAGGAAAAAATCTGGTGAAGAAGAACAGGCCTAGTAGTCAACAACTTCCAGGAGCCTGTCACAGGCGGCTCACCAGCATGATGCGTGTGGACTCGGCAAACACAGACACATAGGGTTTCAGTACATCATAATGGAAGCCAGGCGTGAGCAACTTGCGGTGCTGGAACCACTTGGGCCCCTCAAGAACCAGCAGACCTTTCCCTGGGAGACATGGGGCTGGTCAGTCCAGGAAATACTTCCCTACCCTTGGCAGCCTGTGGCCAAGCACATCCCACCCCATCCCTGAGCCTGGAACCCTCCAGGTATAGGCGACTAAGAGACCAATATTGCCGTCTGTGCCCTCCCCAAGCTGCCAGGACCCCAGCACACAGAGGTGGCAGCAGTTCTTGACTGAATTAGTGCCTTCCTTAGGGCAGCACGACTCAGTTTCTGCCTCTCAGCTGTACACACAAAGCCTGGACTCCAGGAATGTGTGTCAGATGACACTGTGTCGGATGTCAGACAAAGGAGAGGCATCTCCCTGGGGACAGCCAGACAGGAGGGAAGTCTGCTGAGCCTTGACTCTCAGCTGCTGAGACTGTGGCCACAGCCTCAGGATTTGGGGCACAATCTTGTGTTTGTGCTTCGTGGCCTCCTGCAGCCTCTGTCCTCCTGCCCCCCCCAACACATCTAGCAGTGGAAATGCATTCCTAGCTTCATTCCCCCAAGCCTTTTCTGTCTTTTCATTGTATCCTTCCTTTGATGACTGAAGAGAGGATTCGAATCACAAAACAACTTGCCTATGGTACTAGGTGAGTAAATTGGCAAGGGAATGTGTTTTTCCTCTTGGCCCTGCCCTTATTCAGCTCCCAAGAAGATGCTGAGGATACCACAGAATCATGAGTGAAAGAAGGACTTTGAAGAAGCATAGGACCTTGACTCAAGAATACTCAGTGGCTCCCACCTAGCCTCAGCATCATAACCCATCATAACGGTAGCCAAGTGCTGGCAGCCTGTCCTCCCTGCCCAACCTCATCACCCAACCAAGCTCTGTCTTACAGCCACCCAGACAGCCTTGCAGCCCCTGGTGACCAACTATGGTCCTACCACCTCACCTTTCCTCAGGGTCTTGGCCTGAATAGCAGCATCTATTAAAGTCTCCTACAGGATTAACTCTAGTGCCACCTCCAAGAAGCCATTCTTCACACTCACACTTTCTCCAGAGCCCTTGCCCTGCCTGTCTAGGGAAAACACAGGCCTTGCAAGAGGAAACATTCGGGTCCCCATGACCCTGGCCAGCCAAGAGCTCTCCGGCTTCTCCTTTGTCACCCCACTGAGCATTTGAGCTTCAGATGGGCACCTGGGGTCCAGGCTGTCTGGTTGATGGGGTAGCCAACTGAGTGGGGTCGGGCAGGATCCTGGTCACCCCGCACCAAGGGTCTGGGATGGACAGGACAAAGAAGGCAGGTCCTTACTCACCAATCCACTGGAGAAAGAAGTCATACACATCCGAGGCCTTAGGGTCTGCAGGAAAAGGAGATCAGAGATGGGGGTTCCCAGAGGGGTCTCATTGATAAGGAGTAGGAGATACCACAGCTGCCCAAACTTAGGACACAGGCCCAGGCCTCCTCCCCACATTATACCCTGAGCCCTTGGCTCTCAGGAAGCGCCACCCTCTCCCGAGAGCACCTCACCCCCACGACTATACACAGCTTTGGCAAAGTCAGGCTCATAGATGTTCAGGAAGCCAATGAACGGTCCAAACCAGAGTGGGTGGGCGCAGGGGTACTGATGAGCCCAGGATACCACCTTGTCCAGACTTCCCGTCTGTTGGATCTGAAATGATGGCAGAAGACCCAGTGTTACCACTGGGCCCCAAGTCCCTGGGAGGGGAAGGGAGAAGGCTGCCTAGGCAGTGTCGTCTAGAGACCTGTGGGTTCAATGTCCACCCCGGCTCCCCAGCCACTGCTGCAAGTCCAAGTCACTCTCTTCTTACACCTGGGTTAGCTCTACAGCCCCAAACTAGCCAACGTGCTTCCACCCAGCAACTACCACCAACTCTGCACTGTACTGCAGTCAGAAAGAGGTCTCTTCTTAACATTACTCTGCATTATAAAGGTAATTCCTGCTTGTTGTGCAATAGAGAAATCACCTCAACTCCACCTGCTTTGAGTCTTTCAACACATTTTTCCGAAGTGGGCCAGTTCATCCCTCCTTAGGCAACCTGGTGGTCCCCTGCTCCTGGGAGGTCACCATATTTATGCCAAACTTAGTGCAGACACCCGATCAGCATAGCGCACTGCAGCCCAGAACTCCTGGACTCAAGCGATCCTCCAGCCTCACCCTCCCTGGTAGCTGGGACTACGGGCACGCACCACCAAGCTCAGCAAGTCTTTCAACACATTTTTAGTGAAGACCTACATATGCAGAGCTCTCTCTGAATGAGACATATGTGGTTCTGACCTTTCATTCCGTGAGAAAGACAGAATACACAAGTGGACAGTTAAGTAAAATAACCACAGGCAGTAGTAAGTGCTGAGAAGAAAACAAAGACAGTGTTATGAAAGACTCTATCAGGGAGGACCTGTTTAGGGTGATCTGAAACTGGAAGGATGATAAGGATCCGGCTGTGTGAAGCATAAGGAAAGAGCATTCTGGGTGGGGAGAACAGCAAGCACAAAAGAGCTGGGATGGGAAAAATCATGCTGTCTTCCAGGAGCTACCCACTGGTGAGTCACCAGTGGAGATGGTCAGGTGCGATGGCTCACATCTATAATCCCAGCACTTTGGGAGGCCAAGATGAGAGGATTGCTTGAGCCCACGGACTCGAGACCAGCCTGGGCAACTTGGTGAGCCCTCATCTTTGTTTTTTATAAATCAAAAAAACTAAAGAAAGAAAAAAAAGAAATGAGGTTGGAGAGATCATGCAGAGGGTAGTCAGTGCTCTTTGGGGGTCTTTCTAGCCCTATCTACTCACCCAGGAGTGTTTTGTGTAAATGGAGTTATAAGATAAACATGTCTGCAAAGCCAGTCTTTTTTCACTTGATGTATCTTGTCCTCCTTTTCAAGCTAGTGCATTTAACTGTCATTCACTATTTTAACGGTTGCACAGTATTCCACTCACCTAGGGATGTGCCATGATGTATTTATCTATTCTTCCCCATTTAGAGTCTTTTTTTTTTCCCCCCATGTAATTATCTTCTTTTTTTTTTTTTTTTTTTTGAGTTGGCGTCTCACTCTGGCGCCCAGACTGGAGTGCAGTG